TCGCTCTTTTACGGTCAGATATCGGAGCGCGTCGTGCAGATGGAGGAGCACCGTGTCCGCGCTGAACTCCTGATTACTTTATATACGCTGCGAAGTTGCATATTCAAGGCTTCTCGCTGAAACATGAGGCGAAGCCGACAAAATCAAAACAACCGAGAGAACACTTTTCTTCCTCTCTTTCCACGGACTTTTTCTTTTTCCACTCACTCCGTGCAACTCTCTCTCTCCCGTCTGCCTCCTCCTCCTCCTCCTCTTCCTCCTCCTCCTCTTCTTCTGCCTCCTCCTCCTCCTCTATGGGGGTGTCGTGTTACGTTCTTCCAGCCACACGGGGCCGCCCACGCTAAGCGGGGGAGGGAGGGGCGGAGAGCGCACGTAGCCACGCCCACTCGCCATTTGTGCCGGGGCTGGCGTCACGCCGTCCGATCTTAGCCGACATAGCGAGGTGCCGATGACATGTTGTCCCACAGAAACAGACCGAAAACCAATGAAATCGGTCGTCAGTGGTGGTCTCACTTTCCTCAAAGTTGACACTGCTAAAAACGAGCTTTGTATTAAGCCTTGTTGTGTTACTTAGTGAATAATGGCTCACATACAGACTGAAAATCTGTTTTTATTTACACACCCTCGCGTTGTTCCAAATCCAAATGTCTTTTTTTTTCTTCAGTGGAACTCTGAAGAATATCAGTACTGCTCTTTTCTTACAATAAACATGAATGGAGTTCAAGACAGTCCATGCGCATACTTGGTACTTTGATATTAAAGGGGTCATATGATGCGATTTCAAGTTTTCCTTTCTCTTTGGAGTGTTACAAGCTGATTGTGCATAGATGAGATCCCGGAAGTTGCAAAGACTAAAGTCTCAAAACCAAAGAGATATTCTTTATCAAAGTTAAGACTCTGCCACGCCTCCTAAAACGGCTCGTTCTAACACGCCCCCACATATCTACCTCACTATGTGGAAATATTTGCATAATGCCGCCCAAATGTTCACGCAAAGAAAGAAGGCGTGGTTTCAGTAACCGCAGTTAGTGTTGAAGCAGCATGTCAGGGAGACGCTGTGTGTTTCTAGGCGAAAGCAAAAGCACTTTACTTGGCCTTCTGAAAGTAGATGCATTTAGGAATCTTTAAGATTACTTACAACAGAACAGCAATGCATTTTATGGACGACCGTTTCGTGAACCTAGGAGAGGAGGTAATTCTGACTTTGCTATGACAATCTGGCGCTTCTGAATCAACGACTGTAAGTATGTCTTGTTACTAGTTTAAGTATTTGCTATTGACTGTTCAAATGCGGAGTTTTGCACATCGTGTGTGTGTGCATTATTTACTGTCTTAACATTTATTTTGAAAGATGACGCTCACGATTATGGTAAAGGGGCGTTACATTTCCGACACGTGCTTGTGGTGTTCGACCAATCACAAAGCACTGGGTCAGTTGACCAATCAGAGGAGACTGCGCTTGTCGGAAGGAGGGATTTTGTAGAAAACGATGTACTTGAGAGAGGCGGGGCATAGAGGACCTACAATAATGTACAGTATTTGAAAAAGAATGTGTTTTTTGAACATTAAAGCATGTCAACATATTCTGTTACACCAAATACACAAAATGATAATAAAAAAGCATCATATGACCCCTTTAATATTTTCCACAGAAATATCAAATACTTATGTAGGCATAATTTGTCTATGAAACTAATTGCCATCGTTTGAGCATAAATTTGTAGATCTTAAAAGGTTTTAAGATAATAAGAAACATGAATACAGAAGAAAAAAATGTAATTTATATTGATAAAATTTACATAGTGTATTCAAAATAAGAAAGCACCCCCCAAAAAAATTCTGTATAAATGAATGATTGTGTGTGTGTGTGTGTGTGTGTATAAAAATAATAGTAAGAATTTCCCACTACAATTGATTGATTTCTGGGATTGCATTTCTTGTGAAGGATACGTTTCACTCACTTATTTGAGATATTTAATAAATGCTGCTGACTTTTTGGAGTGTAATAATGACGTCTACAATGCTGTTTATGTAGACAGAACACTAGGGTTTGAAACGCAGCAAACAACCTACCTTCTCTCCACTGTACTGCCTCAGGCAATGTAAGAAGCGACAAGTGTTTGCCAACCAGAAGGAAATGGTTTCAAAATCTCCTCGTTTCTGTACAGATAGCAACTTATTACGTAATTACCACAGCATGTTTTGTCAGATGTTTAAATCGAAATAATCTGGACATTTTTCATGCAAAAATGGTTCACTCTTATCTCAATGGATTTGTATTCCAACATATTCTGACAGAGTCTTTCACCTTCAGTACGTTCTTGATGGCGTTGATGGAGAGTTCAGCAGGGTGGAGACCCGCTGGTCATCGTTGGCGTAGTCGGCGTGTCGCAGACACATTAAGAGAATGTAAGCAGGCAGACCTGTGACCAAATTCACCGCCACACCTCTGGGTTTGAGCTCTGTGGATAAATACGTTCAAAATGACTGAAAATCACTCTTTTCAATGGAATATACTGCCTAAAGCAAAAACATTCAATGTCCATTTGTTTCTCTTTGTTCCAAAGAAAGTATCTATAAACATTTGTATTGTTTAGTTTCTCTGCTGATATTCTACATGTTTATGATGTTCAGATCACCTGTGATGAGTATCTTGAACAGTTTGCTCTCGTCTTCTCTCCTGTACTCCAGCATGCCCTGGAAATCCCTCTCTTTGCGAACGATACTGACCATGCGTCCGCTCTCGCCAACTATGTTCTCTGGAGAGGACTGCTCGACATGAACACCTGCTGCCACCACCAAAATATTCATATTTTCCATATAAAAATAATCATGGGATGCCACTCCAACAGAAATTCATGTGATAATTTGTCTACAAAACTAACTGAAAGCATTTAATCATAAAACTTTTAGACAGTTTTTTAGACAAACATGAATCCAGTGTCCAAACTTGACTGATATTATTAATATCTTGTTTTCAAAAATGAGAAATCATTACCCTCAGCCTCCCCAAACTTTTTCATGTAGATTTTCAGGTGTTTCTTTAGTTTGCGGATCATTTTGTCCTGTTTCCCCATCTGCTCCAAGAGGTCCTATAATTTACAGAAATCATTGTAATGCAGAATAATATTTACTGTCATATATTACCATGTATATTTGTTAGTGTATGCATACCATATTTTGTTGTGTGAGGCGACTGATCTCGTGCTGCAGGCTGGCTTGTATTAGAGCGTCATGCGGAAGCTCCAAGCTGTTCGACAGCATCTGCTGCTGATGATCAAGCTCCGCCCTTAACTGCTGAAGCTCCGCCCTCAAACCCTCCACCTCCTTCTCGTGGGACTGTCCCTGAGTTTGCAACTGTGACACTAGAATCCTGCAAAGAGATATTAAAATGTTACTCAAAAGATATGCATTTAACCAGTGTTATTTTAGTATTATTGATATACTATTCGTTTTTCTTAATATTTTGAATAATCTTTTTTTTTTTTACAGTTTTCATCTCAATTTTAGTTACAATTTTTGTAATTCTGTGTTTTTGTCATTTTTATTAGTCTATATAGATTTCATTAAGTTTTAGAAAAACGTTGCCTCAGGAACTAGCATCCTATTTTACTTAATGAGTCAATTTAGTCCCTTTGTTTACCAATTTAAAAAGATACTTTAATTTAAAAAAATATATTTTTTTGGATGGTGTGTGTCAGTTAGTGTACGGGAGAAAGAGTGTCTTTGTATATTAGTTCTATTTTATTTCACCTGTTAGTTTCCTTCAGGCTCTCATAAGCCATCCAGAGTTCTCCATCCTCATTGAGCTCATGAAGGTCCAACCTGGGAGATCTGTGAGAGAAAGAGTCATAAATGACTTCCATTATAAGGAAACATGCATGTTACAGCGTGAACATGGGTCTGAGGACTGTAAATACAAATTTATGAAATATAAAAGCTGATATACCTGCTTGAGTCACCTGAATCTCCTTCGGTTCCTGTTTCCTGAAAAAAAAAAAAAAAATTACTGCCAGACTGATTATGTGTGTGTGTCTGTGTTATATTTTATTAATTATAATTTATGTCACATTATTTTGAAGATTTTCACCTATGGAATGTCAAATGGCTGCAAAAAAGTTTGCACACTACCTTATGTTTAAATGCCTCGTGGTTGACCAGTTGAGATCGCAACATGAGCACTTCCTCCTTTCGCATTTCAAGCTCTTCTGTGGTGGAGTTGAGCTGTTCGAGGAGCACGTTATATGCCTGACCTCCAGGGGACGCCAACTTTGACCCTGACCCCTTACTGAGGGACTGACGGAGCTCCTGCAGATCTTTCTTGAGCTTCTTATTGTCGGACTCCAGCTCCTGACGCTGTGAGTAGATCAGACACACACACACACACACACACACACATATATTTCTTTGAATGCATGAAAGGCAAACCAAAAATTTAATTTAGTGAGCAAAAGTGTGTTTTTGGTACCTTCAGAGCTTCATAGTCTCTCTCAGCCCCTAACACTCTCTGACAATCTTCCAGTTCCTGAAAACACAGAGAAAGAACATGCATGACTTCCAGTACATTATAACAGCCTAGCTGTTTTGGTTCTTACTTTAGTTTGTTCCAGTTGCAGCTGGTCTTCTTTGGTGTCCATCTCACTCTGCAGGTCCATCTTCTCCTTCTCCAGCTCAGCGACTCTCCTCTGAAGCTTCAGCAGCAGGGACACATCAGCTGCCGTCTGGCCAGCATCCTAGACGCATCAAACACAACCATCATATCCTATCATAACAGAAAATCTAGAAGAAATTCAGAAATCAAACTGCTTTTGGAAACGGACCTCTCTTTCCAACGAGCTGACCTCTGACCCTGTGAGCACAGAGCTATGGACGCTCTCTGATTGGCTGCTGCTGTAGCCAGAGTCGGCTCTGTTATGATCATGTTTGGAGAGCTCCTTGTTAGAAAGATTGGTAACACAAAATGTTACAATATTAAAAATGTGAAAAATGCCATTGAATTAGAAAGTGATATGAAAAATCTTTCTTATTACAGCCACCTCTTTTTCTGATCTCAGATCAGCGCAGTGCTCCTCCAGTTTTAGGTGCTCAGACAGAAGGTTCTGGTAACGGAAGCGTTCCTCATTCAGCTGTGCTTGCAGGTGCTCTGTAGCCTCCTGATGGGTAGACTCTGATTTCTCTGTTTAAGACCATACAGATGACAACTGCTACATGACTTTCTTGGTATGCAAATCCAGTTTTGTACATGGTTTACCAAACAGATTCACCAGTCAAGTAACTACCAGTCAGATGAATGACAATGGTCCCTTTGACAATTACAGACCTTTTTGCCCAAGCCCTCACCAACTACAATAGTATTACTAGGTAAAAGGTCAGAGCTTTCCTGAGCCAAGCCAAAACGACATGATCCACCTTTTATCTGCTGCTCCTGTTCCTGGATCAGTCTGTTCATCTCATCTTTCTCACTCTTCAGCAGTGTGTTCTTCTCATTCAGCTCAGCAACCATCTGCAGATCGCAGTTAAGTTCGGTACATTTTTAAAAATGTTTTTAATGTTAAGGAACTCTCTTATGCCCATCAAAGCTACATTTATTTGATCCAAAATACAATAAAAACAGTAATACTGGAAAATATTATTACAATTTAAAATAACGGCTTTCTATTTTAATATATGTAAAGCATTTAATATTTTAATATATAAAATGTCATTCCTACGATGATAAAGCAGAATTTTGTGCTGCTTAATTTTGTTGTGGAAATGGATAATTTTTTTGCAGGATTCTTTGATGAATAGAAAGCCCAAAAGAACAGCATTTATTTGAAAGAAAGCAAATATTTTTACTGTCACTTTTTATCAACTTAATGTGTCCTTGCTGAATAAAATTATGATTTTAAAATAATATATTTTTTGCAATTTTATATCTATAAATATAGATAGACAGATATAGACAGATAGATAGATAGACAGATATAGACGGACTGATAGATATAGACAGACTGATAGACAGATAGATATGTTCGATAAATAAAGATATTAAAATTCTATACTATTTTGTCTACATAGAAAAAAGTATATACCTTTTAAGAAAATAAATGAATATTACCTCTTTGTTCTTCTCCAGCTCCTGACGGACCAGTTCCAGCTCCTCCTGTAAGGATGTCACCAGGTCTCCACGGTGACGGGACTCCTCTTCCGCCTCTTGAAGAGTCTTGAGCTGCACGTGCAACTTCTCCAACTCAGTGGCACTGTGGCTCTCCATTTGCCTTGTTTGCTCAGAAAGCTCTCGGTTGTCTTTATGCTAAAGATAAAATACAAACATATTGTAAATCAAACATGGATTCCTCCTTAGATATCAAGACAGATGTAGATAAAACAGATGAAGGATACCTGCTCATCCAGTTTCCTCTGCAGCTGCATGATCTTGTTCTCCATGCCGACGTTGAGCTTCTTGTAGTGCTCGACTGATCTGGCTTCAATCTTGAGTTTCTTGAGCTCACGACGGGCCAGCATCCTGCGCACACAACACTGCAGATACACCACAGCCCTCTTGATGCGACGAAAACGCCAGCGGGCCAGGAAGCCACGCACCCAGCGCTGGATCAGTAAAGCCTTGTGCTCACACACCAACTATGCAAGAAAACATCACAACAAGCTCTACAACAGTTGCTTTCATCTCCAATCCAACATTAAAGCATTTGCAACCCATGTTACTGGGTTTAACATTTAAATGAATGAGAATTAGCATCTCTCTGTACTAAGAAATAGCTGTTACTCATTCCTGAAAGCCTCATTCTTATTTCCTCTTGCATGTTTTTAAATTTGTGATTACAAGCCTAGATCTTTGTCTGTGTACCCGTTTGTACTCCAGTCTGGCAGTATAGCCGCGCAGTAACCTCTGAATGAGAACCGCTGCTGCTCTCTGTCGCAGGAACTGTCGTCGGGCTGCCCACATGCGCGTGTACTTCTGAAAGATCACTGCGGCCCGCGTCCTTCTCAGTGTCTTGCACAAGCTAAACGAGGATAGATAAAATACACTGTTAGTTTAGTTTCCAATTAGTAATTCACTCATAATTCATCTCAATTTACGCTTGACTTAATTCGCAATGTAAATCTAAAACATTTGTGAGTGTGACGCACCATCGAGCCTGGTGTCCTCTCGTGTATCTCTGCAAGGTAATGGCCGCCTGGCGAATACGCAGGTATTTCTTCCGGGCGAGCCAGCAACGGATGGTTTTTTGGATGTGGATGCAGGCTGCACGGAGTTTGTCAGCCCTCAGCTTTTCCAGGTAAGCCACCTGTCCAGCCCGGAAAAAGATCTTTGTTTTTCCGAACTGGTATTTATCTTTGTTCTGCAGAGGGGGAACAAAGTAACATTAGACCGTTTAAAAACATCTCAATCCTACCAAAGCTGGTTTGTACGTGTCTGTGCATGGCCATGCTGGTTTAGAGGGCTTGTGGGCACTTTTTGGCTGGGAGATTGGCTTAAACCAGCTTAGACCATCTTAAACCAGCCTAGGTAGTTCTTTTTTGCAGGACACATGCATTTTGCATAAAGAAAGAACAGAGTTGTGTTAATGTTTACAAAGAGAAGTGTGATACCTGCACAAGCCGTTCTAGAACACTCTGGCAGGTCAACTTCCTGTCTGAGAGGAATTCTTTCTGCCTCATTAGAACACGATAACGACTGAAGAACTCTTGATAAGTCCACCTGACCAGAGGGAGGTAAAGATGCATTAAAACACGAACAGATCCCAAATCAGGTCGGCCATTTAGAGCTGGGTTAACGGAACTAAATTTTTGCTAAAGTGGTTTTAAACTTGAATAGAATAAGTTTAATAAGGGTCTTTATTGATAAACGAACGTCAGTTCAAAAACTTTTGATTGGTGCTTTTGAGTATCACTTCTGATTGGTTCCCTTCAATTGGTCACAGCCAATCAGATTCCACGCAGAAGGGAGACTAGTAAGACATGTCATCATGAATTAGCACCTGGAAGGGAAGCCTGCAGATGAGATACGAATGGTCTCAAGGACTCCACACGCTCTGAGCTGCTGGACGGCTCGATGGGGGTCCAACCTAGAGCCAGAAAGAGAAGAAACTAAAGTGACCTATATTACATAATGGTGGATTATCTCTGAACTCAGTTTACTGACATGAAGGGGGCTTTAACGTCATTTGGCTTGATGCAGCGCACATAGTGAGGGGTGGTGGCGTTCAGCGTGTCCATGAGCAGGTGCAGAGAGTTCCGGAACTTAAAACAGGAGGAACAAAAGCATCAGACAAATGACACTGTGATTTTCTGTGAAGAGATTTGGGTGGATAATATCGGTTTCAATAGAGCACAATAGCGACCGCCTACTTTTCCCACATTTTTCAGCAGCCTTGGTTCTGGAAACATTTTTATTATTTATAGCAAAATAGTATATGACAATTGGGGGAAAAGACAAAAGGTAGACCATGCAATTAATATCTTTTATGAGACAATTATTGTTGTTATTATTATTAATAATTTAAGCTCAACTACCATGAAAAATTCCATGATGCATTGTGAATGAAATAATGGAATCAAGTGCAACAAAACTAAATAAAACTACTGATTTATAGTCATTGAATTAACAACAAAACAATGCTTTCCAAAGTTTGGGGTTGATAAGACTTTTTTTTTTTTTTTGAAAGAATCATGCTCATCAGCACTGCATTTTTATTTGATCAAAAACACAGTAAAATAGTAATATTGCAAAACTGTATTATTAATTTAAATAAATGTTTTCTATTTGAATTATTTTACAATTATTTTAATAATATTATATTATTATTAATATTTAATATGCTGATTTGGTGCTCAAATTATTTTTATTTTTTTAATTATTATAAATGTTGATTATAGTGATACATTTGTTCAGGATTCATTCATGAACAAAGTTCAAAAGAACAGCATTTATCTGAAATCTAACTTTTTTGTAATAATGCAAAAAGTCTGTTGCGTGCACAGGATCAATTTAATGCACCCTTGCTAAAAAAGTATTTTTAAATTAAAATGATTAAAAATCTTACTGACCCCAAACCTTTGAATATGTTTGACTATTAAACCCTTTAAAAAAAAAGTTTTTTATATAACGCCTGTCTTAAAAGGTTTACTGTTATTACTTTAATCAGGTAATGGGAATGAATGCTTTTACTTTCAGAGTCTTTTTGCAGCCCAAGTTCAGATTGAAGGAAATGAAAAAGACAAACAAAAACAGAGATGGATCTCGGCTTTGTTGGTCAACTCTAACCTGCAGTCCAACCGATTTCTTGTGCTCCCTAAAAGACTGGGTTGACCGCCCAACCTTTGCACGACCAGATGGTGCTGTGGAGCTCGGAGCTACAGGTGTTTCCTCATCCTGGAAGAGCTCAACCAGCAAGGCAAACTGAGAAAACAAGTCTTAATTTAAAAAAAAAAGAAAAAAACAGCAATATGCATGCTACTTGTGACTATTTCACTCTAGACTCAGTGGTTCTCAACTGATTTAAAACTGATTTTTTTCCCCTGCTCTCCATAACCTGTTTTTGGGTTGCAACCCACCAGTTGAGAACCACTTGTCTAGGAAGCCAAAAAGTATGTTAATGAACCGAACAGCAGGTGGCGATACTTATCTCAAGACATGTTGTATCATAACTGTATTTTCAAGTCACTGAGAGAGCAGAGAATAACATTTCGCAAGCTGAAACACATTCCAGGTTCTCATTTCAACTGTGTAGAGCACAGCAAAGATGAATTTCTGTGCCAGAAAAATGTTAGTGAGCTATGCTGAGGTGAACACACCTTACTAGCCTTCAGCGCATTAATTTGTTCTTCATTGACTGTGTCTTTATTTTTCTCCAGAAATCCATCACACTGGTATTCAACCTAAAACAGAAATACAAACAAGATAAAATGGCATGGACTCTTAGGAATTCCTGTATGACCACATAAGTGCATATTTTTCTTCATGTACCTTGTCTGCAAAGTGCAGTATGATGAAGGCTTTGTTAGACATGCGTGGCTTCTCAAAGTGAGAGCTTTTCTTTAGGTGAGTGTTGTACAGCTTTTGGGCCCATGAATCATCTGAGCCTTTTGGCATCTGGAAGCATCAAATCAAGAAATCTGAGAAGTTCATCACAAAAATATGCTAATTATATATATATATATATATATGGTTCAATCATGTTTACAGTGCATTCTTCATCTAAAAGATCTAGCAAGCCCATCTTGGCCTCGATCAGGTTGATGCACGGCTGGTTGTCGTAAAAATCGATGAGCGTCCATGGTATCTGCTCCTTCATGTATTCCTCCTGCTCCAGTTTGAACACGTGCTGGAGGGGAAATGCTTTCTGTGAGTCGTGATGTGCTTGGACATGACCGCTCGTTTTGTGAATGCTGGAACAGCTGACACATGTTTGAAAATGCTGACCATGTTAAACTGCTGCTGGAGCTTCTCGTTGGCGTAATTGATGCAGAACTGCTCGAAGCTGTTCACCTCGAATGTCTCAAACCTGGGCACAACAGTTCACCTAATTTTCCTACAACTGCATTTTTAACATCAATAAAGTATGAAGATGAAATAATAGCACCTCACCCACCCATAGATGTCTAGGACACCGATGAACGAGTGCGGTTTGGAGGAAGTGCTCAGGGCCTTGTTGACCTGGCTGACGATCCACGAGAAGAGCTTGGCATAAATGTGCTTCGCAAGAGCGTCACGGCCGTTTATGGCCTCCAGTCGGGTAACAGGCTTGTTTAGGGTTTCTGTGGCGGTCTTGAGTTTTTTATGGCACAACCAGTGAGCCATGGACTCGTACGACACCTCAGTGAGGTCACAAAACACTGCCAGGTGGCCGCTTTCATCCTGGACACAATGAAAACAACAAAGTGTGAAATCAATGAATGAAAATGTGTATTAAAGAATCCATTAATTCTTGCGTTCTCAATGCGACTTACAGAGATGCCACAACTAGACGATCCTCTCTCTTTCACTTCCACATTCCCCAGATGAAGAATGGCTGACAGGATTTGGAATAAACCCATTTGGTGTGCCTCAGTTATTCCTGGAATCAGTAGATACTGGCACGTTTGTGGCTGAATGACTAAACTAAGAGCATGTGAAGAAGCATTAAAGTAACACTCCACTATTTTTGAAAATAGGCTCATTTTCCAACTCCCCTAGAGTTAAAAGGTTGAGTTTTACCATTTTCGAATCCATTCATCCGATCTCTGGGTCTAGCGGTAGCACTTTTAGCTGTAGCTTAGCACAGATCATTGAATCTGATTAGACCGTTAGCATCTCGCTCAAAAATGACCAAAGAGTTTCTATATTTTTCCTATTTAAAACTTGTCTCTTCTGTAGTTACATCGTGTACTAAGACCGATGGAAAATGAAAAGTTGCGATTTTCTAGGCCGATATGGCTAGGAACTATACTCTCATTCCGGCGTAATAAACTCTTTGGTCATTTTTGAGCGAGATGCTAACGGTCTAATCAGATTCAATGATCTATGCTAAGCTGCAGCTAAAAGCGCTACCGCCAGACCCGGAGATCGGATGAATGGATTAGAAAACGGTAAAACTCAACTGTTTAACTCTAGTGGAGTTGGAAAATGAGCCTATTTTCAAAAACAGAGGAGTGTTCCTTTAAAAGGGTTTATATCATGAAGAATCTAATTGTCCTTGATCGTTTTAGATAAGAGCTTTATGTACTATGAAAACACATTTTGACTTTGTCCATGTTTACACATCAACTATTGCTACTGGATGTTCAGGAACCTGGCCAGTCTAATCATAGATAGGTACTAAGAATAAAAAATAAAAAAAAATGTAAAAGGAAAAAAAAAAAGAATACAAAAATAATCACATTAAAAAATAAACAACAATAAAAAATGAATATTTTAAAATAATAAAATAAACAATACAATACAATTAATAAAATACAAAAAAAAAATGTAAATAAAAGACGTTACCCTTTTATCATTCTCATAATAAATTAAAACAATAAAAGAAAGATATATAGGACCCCGGTGTACAAAACAATATATGGCACATGGAAAGGTAAGCTATTTATACCTAGCAGTGAAAAGGCTTTCCTTGTGGCCTCCATCTCTTTCAGGTCGTTCACTCCCTCGATGATGGGACTTCTGCCTTGGTTAGTGTAGGGAAAGTCATCAGCGCTACCTTAAGAGAAAAACTGGTTACTGAAGAGAAGGAGTCCACCCTGAGGGGAAGTGGTGAACAGATTTTCTTATTACAAAATATCACCTGTCGGTTGACTTAAAACCTACAATAACATCCATAACTCATTATAGATGCTAACGGTTTACTTGACTGTTAATTATAAACACAATGCAGAGTAGGTATCATACCTAATTTTAGAGGTTCAAATTCTGCTAAATGGGCACAGGCACAGAGCTGATAGAAGATGTGATAGTTTCTCTCCTCACTTGCCTAAAACAGGAAACAGAAACGGACCACTGTAGTTTAAGTCAAGAGACATTTCCACACAAGTACACCAGAATTTATATTTATTTAATTGAAATACATTTTATATTACTGAAATCAATGTTGACTCTTTCAAACTATTTAAATAAGTATGTAGTAGAGACGAATAAGCAGCAGATTAACCTGAAACACCACTCTAGACTTTTCCAGAAGATACGTCCTCATGTTGGCTCCAATGATGTGGTGTTTCCTGTCAAATCCAATCTCAATGTACTTACCAAAGCGGCTACTGTTGTCGTTTCTCGTCGTCTTGGCGTTTCCGATAGCCTACACACATATGAAAACCTCAGTATGAGGAGAAATCTACATCTGTTTGGTGTTTAGGGAGTTTCACAGGCTAGCAGAAGCTAGCTAGATAAAGTTAGATCTGCTGTCATACCTCCATGATGGGGCTGGACGCCAGCACTTTCTCCTCCACGCTGGCCTCAGCAGAGGAGCCGCTGACCGTGGCGAAGTAACGCATGGCGTATTTGGCAGAAACGGTCTTCCCTGCACCAGATTCTCCACTCACAATGATGGACTGATTTTTCTCGTCTCTTTCAGGAGGAAAAGGAGAGATAGCATTGTAATTGCCATTAACTGTGAACACATTCTTAGATACACTCTATACTTTTGAATCTCTATGGCAAAAAGGTATGTGCACATACCTGGCCATCTGTTTATAGGCCTCCTCTGACACGGCAAAGATATGAGGGTCCATATCACCCATGTTCTGCCCACTGTAAGCATTGATGATGTCCGATCCATAGATTTGAAGACTTTCATATGGATTGATGGCAACCAGGATGATCCCTATATTTATTTTAAAATGATTAGATTTTTTTTTTTTTTAACTTCTGGAGTTCTGGGTCAAAGGTCAGACTGAATCGCAATGCGTTTTCAGACTCTTTTTCTGAAACTTTGCATACTGTATGCAAAACAGCCTAATCTAAGAACAGGAGTCCATAACTCAAAGTCTAATGGGCTGTGCAGTACAGATGAAACAAGCTCTGCTAGGGCATATTTTACGGTTCATATTCACTAGTAATATCTGCTGCACATGAGAGTTCCAAAGTGTACAAGTCAATGCTCAGAAAAGAAATGAAATCAAATAAATCTGTTAATTAAATAAAATGGTAAAATTCAATTAATTTAAAAAAATGAAACTACAAGACAATATATTGACAATAAACAGACTAGCCATAGACACACTGCTTTCATATGTGACCCTGCACCACAAAACCAGTCTAAAGTCACTTGGGTATATTTTTAGCAATAGCCAAAAAAACATTGCATGGGTCAAAATGATCGATTTTTCTTTAATGCCAAAATTATTAAGATATTAAAGGGATAGTTCACCCAAAAATGAAAATTCTGTCATTATTTACTCACCCTCATGACGTTCCAAACCTGTACGAGTTGCTTTCTTATGTTGAACACAAAAGATGATATTTTGAAGATTGCTGGTAATCAAACAGCTGGTGGTTGCCATTGACTTCCATAGTAGGAAAACAAAATACTATGGAAGAAATACTATGGAAGTCAATGGCAACCACCAACTGTTTGATTACCAGCAATCTTCAAAATATCTTCTTTTATGTTCAACAAAAGAAAGCAACTCGTACAGGTTTGGAACGACATGAGGGTGAGTAAATGATGACAGAATTTTCGTTTTTGGGTGAACTATCCCTTTAAGTAAAATCATGTTCCATGAAAATATTTTGTACATTTCCTACCGTAAATATATCAAAACTTAGTTTTTTATTAGTAATATGCATTGCTAAGAACTTCATTTGGACAACTTTAAAGGCGACTTTCTCAGTATTTAGATTTTTTTGCACCCTCAGATTCCAGATTTTCAAATAATGTCCTAACAAACCACACATCAATGGAAAGCTTATTTATTCAGCTTTCAGATGATGTATAAATCTCAATTTCAAAAAATTGACCCTTATGACTGGTTTTATGTTCCAGGGTCACATATTGTCATCGAAATGAATAGGAAAGTCAAAACTATGATTTTAATATATCTAATAAGCAACGTCCACAACCATCTGAGGTGTCGGTTTGATTACCACAGTAGGTGTAGATGAGCTTGGAGTCTGTGAATCGGACCCGGAGGTTGTGCATCACAGCTGGTTCATGGAGGTAACTGAGAGCCGTGAGGTCGTTCTCACCCACCAGGATGTCCGGGTTACGAAGGGGAGGCAGAACACCACTCTTTGGGTCCAACTTGTACTCAAAATCCTGCGAAAAGATACTAAAGTTCAGCAGAAGCTACTGTGGAGAATTATAAATGCCCTTAAAGTGAATCTACTGCCTTGTCCAATAAACGTCCACAGTATGTGCATTTATTTAGCTATTTTTCTGTCGTGAGCTCTACTGTCTTCATGCTGTTGATGACCTTTTATTGAACCCAGAATATTCCTTTAACGTAAAACATGTTAGTTCATCAGATCATCTTGTGCATCTTGTGGGTAAAACATGCAAAAAGCTTTTTGTATCACTGACACACTTGCAGACAGGAGATGAATTTAGAGGACATTTATTCAGGAAACCACAAGCTAAACTACAGATACTCGGCTTTGGCCTAGTGACTGCACACCAGTTAAATGTTACACCAGTTAAAAAAAAATAGTGGGAACAGCAATGGGTGTGGTTACTGAAATATGCTTGAATTGAAATTCCACACCCATTATTTCTTCCACCAGTCTGACTCAACGCTGACTCAAGCAGCCTTCGAAAGCTTTAAACCATCTGATCTGGTCAAATTTGTCATGGTTGCCTTTTATACCCATGTTGGATGGGTAAACGGGATCTTAACCCGTTACAAAACAGGGTGTAAGTGGAAAGCTGTTTGATACTCTCACCGTCTCATCCTCCAGCTGTAGATGTAGTACAGTGTCTCCGAGCTTGTAGTCTTTGGTGAGCTCTGCTGATCTCCACACCTCTGTGGTGTCCGGGATCCAGACTCGAGCAAACTGCAGGTGGCCAACATCAAGTTAGATTGAATAAAAATATTTATTACATGCAATTCAAAGCAGATATAAAATGGTTTAATGTAAATATTAATAATAAAAATTTATAAAATCAAATGCATTATTGTTTTATTACAGTACTTTTTTCATTTTTAAAATCAAACATGTGATTGTTTTATCAATGCGTTTATATTTAAAGCAAAAATTACATATTACATCTAATTTCAATGTTGTGAAAATGTCTAATTTACCTAATATTAGAGCTGCAACTCAGATTAATATATTTTGTATTTTATTATTTTTTGCTTTTATTTTAACTTTAATCAAGCATCCGGTTGTTTAATCAATGCATTCAGAGTTAAAATAATAAATTAAATATAATTTTAGGTTTAATTTTGTAAAATGGTTTCATTTACCTAAAATAAGAGCTACAAATCAGATTAATATTTTTTTTGCTTTTTTTCAACTTTAATCAAGCATTTGATTGATTTATCAATGCATTCAGAGTTAAAACAGTGAGATATTAGAGCTGCAACTCAGATTAATATATTTTGTATTTTATTATTTTTTGCTTTTATTTTAACTTTAATCAAGCATCCGGTTGTTTAATCAATGCATTCAGAGTTAAAATAATAAATTAAATATAATTTTAGGTTTAATTTTGTAAAATGGTTTCATTTACCTAAAATAAGAGCTACAAATCAGATTAATATTTTTTTGCTTTTTTTCAACTTTAATCAAGCATTTGATTGATTTATCAATGCATTCAGAGTTAAAACAGTGAGTTAAATATTATTTCTAGGTTTAATAAAATGGTCTAATTTACCTCAAATTAGTGGTGCACCTTTTTTTCCTATCCTTAATAGAAATTAGAAATACTAATTTAAGAATCAAACAATCATTTAAGTGTTCAGTGTTTATTTGTTTGAATACAGTCCGCTGAAAGTTTGATAATCAAACTAAAATAAATTAAAAAAAAAATTCCAGTAGCTTTAAAGTTCTCCAAAAAAAACAGCAAAAAGATGTAAGATTGGACTGTCTGGATGGTACAATGTTGCACATGCTTCTACTGCTCAGATGTGAAAGTAGCGGGGTTTAAACTCTCATACCTTCGAGTACAGCTCCAGCGCTGCCATTGGGCTCTGCCTGAACTCCCGTTACTCCAGAAACATCGCAACTCTCTGCGTATGCTGCGACTTAGAAAACAGACATTGAGAAACGCCAAACTTTCTGCAATCTCTTGGCTGGTGGTGTGGAGGTGTGACAGCCGCCGGGGAAGTGCATTGAGTGGCACAGTTAAATAACTAATAGCTGTATCCAATTGAACACGATGTATTCTTCCGCCAGGGGGCGCTTGGTGGCTCAAAACGCTACTCCTCCAATGAGCCGCATTTAAATCTCTGGATGATTTTTGTCTCAATGGAAACATGTGCACGCAAAATAGTGTAATCGTTTTACTCCATTAATTATTAAGACAAACGTCTGGCATACAAATGATAACTCGGGCAACTATTTCTTATGAATCGATTAAAAAGTAAAAACAATCAGCTAGTAATCACAACCGTATATGATTGGTCGGTCTTGCCCACCGGTGAGAAAAGTAACAGGTACCACTCGACAACGGAATGAACGCGTTGAGTGTCCTGCATTCAGCAAAATTTCAATGTTTCAATTGACTGTAAAAAGTATAATATTTAATATTACTTTATTATAAAGTAAAATATTATTTATATTATATTTTTCTCTTCAAGGGCCACCATAAGGTAAACTAAATACATAGTAATCATATATATATCGCCGTCTCACTTCATTTGGAGTTATATTATAGCCACCAGAAAGAACGAAAAATAAATAAAATAATAAAATCTGCAGTGGCAATGAAAGACGTGGAAACAGCTACACTAGTGCCGCATAGTGGCAATTTTGAAGTACTGCGCTCCGCCCGGTTATACTAAGCTAGAAAAACATAATGCATTTATCTGCCTACTCCAAATGTATGTTTATACCCATATTCTCTGCCTCTGCTGTATGACTGGTTTGTTCTTCATTTTTTGATCTAACCATATTACAGTCACCTGAAAAAGAAATTCATTATGAAATTCATAATGTATGGCATGGAAAAACGCCATACATTATGCATGTTAAACGTGAATTGGTTATTTGTGTATCTGTCATCTACTGCCAGGAGCTGTTTGTTCATTCATTTAGCTTTGGTAATATTACAGTCGCTTGAAAAAAATAAAAATAAAAAGCCACCATGGCAACAAATGGGCTGGAAATAGTGAGTTACTGCACTCCACCCAGATATACTAAAAACAATGCATACTGCAAACGTAAGCTGGTTATTTGCATTTCATGAAAGTTAAGTCAGTGAACAATTCAAACTAAATAAATGAAAGCCTTGGTTAATATAAATTACGTTTGACTAGACATTAAGAGTGAATTTCACCAAACATCATTGCTAAATGATGGTACAATGCTAGTCTCCATTAAATTTGTCTAGATAATTAAAATGATTTTATTTTAATACCAAGTTTTTCAACAGAATAGCTACAACCTGTACTGCGAAGTTCAGAAACAACTACTCAGTACAGCACGTGCGCAAAACTAGTTTATTTACAGAACAAATGGCACAGATGTGACAGTAAACATTTGTTTCAGGCATTCTGACAACAAAACCTAGAGAACCCAGCGAAGAGCTCAACACACTCCTCAGTGCGGGCAAACAAACGCCGCCCGAGAGAAACAGACCGTTTTAAGGCCATTTTCATAATTAACAAGTAGGAAGGAATGAACGCTTTGATTTTCTTCAGCTCAATCAGCGAACATCTACGAGGCCTTTTGTTTCTTCCAGGAGGCACAGTTTTGGCAGAAGAGGTGGTTGTGATTATTTCAAGTCTAGTCCATATGATCTATTCATGCAGGTCTTATTTCAAGACAAGCACAAACAAAAAAGATGATGGAGAAAGTGTAAAACCCTAAAATAATGTGGATCTGACTTCATGGGCCAGATTACCATGTTTAAACCTTGGCATCGATGACTGTACGGCTACAACTGACTGTACGGTTAAACCCAAGTGCAATGCTAGCAGCAGTATCAAAACGTTATACTGAGAGCGTTTCTACAGGCCGAAGACATAGAGAGTAAGAAAAGACAGCAAAAGAAAGACAAATCAATAAAGGTTGAGGGAACATAATGGAGATGGAGACAGCAGGAATGGCACTGAGACACAAGTCCACACTCCCACTAGACGGCGAGCTTGCTGGCCACCAGAGACTGTTTCCGCTGCGGCAGGTCCTGAGGGGTGGGAATGTGGTCTCCGGTGATCTCCGTCTTCTCCGCCGCTGCTGTCGGGAGCTGCTTGTTCTTCATCTTGGCTTTGGCCATGTTATAGTCGCCCGAGTCAAAGTATTTTTGCTGCAAGGGATAACAACGTCCGTTATTTGCAATCAGTGGGCTCAATATTAAAACTCCCTTTCAGAAACGTACCCCTTTTTGAAGTCTTTTTCGCAGCAGATCTGAGCCACCGGGCTTGGTCCCGAGATGTGGGTATCGGGCTTTCAGTTTGGCCTCCTCAGTTTTTTCTGGACTTACAACAGTGTCCTGTATCTCCTACATTAAATGTGGGACGAAAACCATTTGAAAACAAATTCTTAAAGGGGTCATATGATGCGATTTCAAGTTGTGCTTTCTCTTTGGAGTGTTACAAGCTGATTGTGCATAGATAAGATCCCTGAAGTTGCAAAGACTAAAGTCTCAAAACCAAAGAGATATTCTTTATCAAAGTTAAGACTCTGCCACGCCCCCCTAAAACGGCAAGTTTTCTTTTCTCAAATCATGTCAAACTGTTAACGGTGCATTGAACTAACAGCTTACATTGAACAACGCAAAATATAGTGAATTTGAGGAAAAAAAGTTGAAAAAGAACAGCGTTTATTTAAAACAGTAATCTTTTGTAACACTACCGTTCAAAAGTTCGGGGTCAGTAAATTGTTTTCCTTCTTTTTTTTTTTAAAGAAATGAATGCTTTTATTCAGCGAGGATCTGTTAAATTGATAAAAAGTGATTATAAAGACTTATATATTGTTAGAAAAGATTTCTATTTTAAATAAACGCTGTTCTTTTTAACTTTTTTCCATCTAATAATCCAAAAAAATTATCAAAGGTTCCAAAACTAAATTTTAAGCAGCAAAACCGTCTCCAATACTGATAATAAACCAGCATATTAGAATGATGCTGAAAATCCAGCTTTGAAATATATATTTGAAAGTACATTAAAATAGAAGGAATGGATATATAATAATATAATATATAATTTAATAATAGGAATATTAGCCTACTGTTTTTTCTGTATTTTGTGGTCAAATAAATGCAGCCATGATGAACAGAAGACTTCTTTAAAAAAAAAAAATTACGGTTTTATTATACATAATTTCAGTTTACGCTTTACAGTTAATCTAAATGCGTTATCAGCACGCAGTCTGTAAAACTGACCCTAAAAACACATACACTGTTTGAAAAGCCTATAAAATAACTTTTACGTAGAGCTGTTGTTTTATATGGTCTAGCAGCTACATACCCGAGCGATGGATTTATAGATTATTATTATTATTATTATTATTTTAACAGGAAGTTTGGCCTCGTACTAAACGTGCTCGAATAAGCAAACCTGCTGCTCCTCTGTGCTCGCCTCCACTTCTCCGGACATCAGGACAAATTAAAATGCAACAAAAACAAAAGAAAACAAAAGACAAACACGGGACACTTGGCTTTATTCGCCCTCAGAGAGCCGTCGGGCAAGATCCGTCTGCTGACCGTCTGCTGCCGCTAACTGTTCTTCCTCGAGAGAAACGGGGAGCGGCTCACACACTCACTGTGAGCTGCACCGCCGCCGCGCGGACTGGAGGAGAACAGCGGCATTTTGAAAAATACATATATACAGTGGGTACGGAAAGTATTCAGACCCCCTTAAATCTTTCACTCTTTGTTATATTGCAGCCATTTGCTAAAATCATTTAAGTTAATTTTTTTTCCTCATTAATGTACACACAGCACCCCATATTGACAGAAAAACACAGAATTGTTGACATTTATGCAGATTTATTAAAAAAGAAAAACTGAAATATCACATGGTCCTAAGTATTCAGACCCTTTGCTCAGTATTTAGTAGAAGCACCCTTTTGATCGAATACAGCCATGAGTCTTTTTGGGAAAGATGCAACAAGTTGTTCACACCTGGATTTGGGGATCCTCTGCCATCCCTCCTTGCAGATCCTCTCCAGTTCTGTCAGATTGGATGGTAAACGTTGGTGGACAGACATTTTTAGGTCTCTCCAGAGATGCTCAATTGGGTTTAAGTCAGGGCTCTGGCTGGGCCATTCAAGAACAGTCACAGAGTTGTTGTGAAGCCACTCCTTCATTATTTTAGCTGTGTGCTTAGGGTCACCGAATGATAGTGTAAACAAAGCGTTTGCTTTAATAAAGTTTAATGTGATCAATCACCCTCAAACCGCAGTCGTTCCTCTTTTATATTAATGGAAAGACATTTGACTTTTTACCTCGTAAAAAGGATCAAACAGAGCATCCAAAAATTCTCATAGAACTGAGAAACCGGTTCTAAAATATCAGCAAACCACCCATTAGTTCTGGATCCGTGACGCTAGATAGTACAGCAGGAAGAAGGCCACAACCAAACCGGCAGACACGTAACACAAGATCTTTCTGTTGTCTCGGCCGGATCGTACCATTGTGGAAAACCTCTTCACGCTTCCAGTCAGCAGGCCAGTTGCACTGAGAAAATTAGAGTCCTGCGTAAACAAGGACGTTAAACACATGATGAGTTACACCTATTTCACTGCAAATACAACATCAACACTTTCAAAACACCAACCATGCCATCCAAGTAGCTATTCTGGTCCTCAGCCTCTTTGTCAATGTCATACGCCAGCTGTGAACGAGACCAAACACATTTAAATGCCACAAAATGACAGCTCTACTTTCGTTAATAACATTATAGAAGTCTGACTTACAGATTTGAGTCTAGAGACTTTACCGGCCAGATTTTCTGCCATCAGCCTGTTTTCAGCGTCTAGCATGTCATCCACAGCACCATGTCCTGTCAAAGACACAAAATGAACTGTGATTAAGCCTTTTTGACATAAAGTGCACCAACATGATTTCATATCTGCCCACTTTCATTTTCGAGTTTACCTGCACTGGCAACTAGGGTTGCCAACTGTTCCGTATAAAACGGAATCGTCCCGTACTTAAGGCATCAAAGAAGCGTTCCGTATGAAAGCTATATGGAACACAGTTTGTCCCGTATTTAAGGCATAGGCTATGCCGTATAAACACCTAGACCATATACGAATAACAAACTCTAAATTGAGAATGAATCATTCTTTTTTGACAAGTGTTTGATTTGTGAACATAGCCGTTCCAGGGAGGCTTTAAGGTCAAGCAGAATCCTCTTCTCAGCGAGCGGGACTCTAACGGAGTGGGGTTTTTAACGACCGCGTTTGGACTTCAGCAAATCAGTTTGAGCGAATGCAAACAACGTGATTCCAACATCCAGCCACGCAAGAAAACGTGCATTTTACCTGAAGGAAGAGAACACCTAGACCATATACGAATAAGAAACTCTAAATTGAGAATGAATCATTCTTTTTTGACAAGTGTTTGATTTGTGAACATAGCCGTTCCAGGGAGGCTTTAAGGTCAAGCAGAATCCTCTTCTCAGCGAGCGGGACTCTAACGGAGTGGGGTTTTTAACGACCGCGTTTGGACTTCAGCAACCAGTTTGAGCGAATGCAAAACAACGTGATTCCAGCATTCAGCCACGCAAGAAAACGTGCATTTTACCCGAGGGAAGACGTGATCAATAAGGAAAGTCGTATTTATATTTAAGTAACTTTCAGTGTATTCTTAACCTTGAATATCATTCTTAAAACACAAAATGACCAATGAAGTGTCAAGCACCCAAAGCAGTTAATATTTATTCTATAAGTTCTCTTTAATTGAAAAATATGCATTTTCATATATACTGCAGTATGCCTACTGTATATTACACACACGCATCAGAAGACAGAAAGAGCTTTATTGCCAAGTATGTTTGCACATACAAGGAATTTGTTTTAGTGTCACAAGCTTCCAGTACACGGAGACAACAACAACACACAGATAATAAAAATAAGATGTGAATAAAACACACATATATAGCCTATACACTGCCGTTCAAAAGTTTGGGATCAGTAAGAGTTTTAATGTTTTTTAAAGAGGTTTCTTATGCTCATCAAGCCTGCATTTATTTGTTCAAAAATACAGAAAAAAAAGTAATTTTGTGAAATAGCCTATTATTGCAGTTTTCTATTTTAATATACTTAAATATAATTTATTCCTGTGAAGCAAAGCTGAATATTCAGCATCATTATTCCAGATTTTAGTGTCACATTTCCTTCA